AAAGCCCCAGTTTAAAGCAACTTCCTTGGGTCCGTGGGGTGTTCTACCTCCCTGACTGTTGAGCTGCCCAGAAAGGGGACTGGGCACGAGGCTGCACATGTCCCCTGCCCTGCTGTGGCTGAGCCTTGCATGATGTCACAAGGCCACCCTGCAGACTTGTCTGCTTTCTTCCCTGACCCTCCTCAGGATCCTCAACTCCTGCACAGACCTGATGAAGGTGAGTGCAGTGGGTGGGTGGGCGACCCCAGGGCAGGCTCTGTGTCGGGACCACCTGGAAAGCCACATCTTGGTCTTGGCAGGCCATCCGGCTCCTCGTGATGACCTCCACCAGCCTACAGAAGGAAATCGTGGAGAGCGGCAGGGTGAGCAGGATGGGCTATGGTCTGGCAGTCCCCCTGGCTGGGTCAGCAAGAGACATACCCTCAGACGCCCTGACCCCTTTGTGCATGAAACCCCCCACCATACAGTGTCTGTTGCCACGGCTAAAAACCCCCACACCTCAGGGAGGCTTCAGGGATATGCCTTGTGCTTCAGGGGATACCCTCTGGGCACCCTTTCCTACCTGAAATGTCCTTGATCCTCTCCTGTCCTTCCATCACCACTAGGGGGCAGCCACGCAACAGGAATTTTATGCCAAGAATTCACGGTGGACGGAAGGCCTCATCTCTGCCTCTAAGGCAGTGGGCTGGGGAGCCACACAGTTGGTGTATGTCATCCCAAGTGGGGGTGGGGTGGGCCAGGCACTAAGGTCTGGTGTTTGGGGTTGCCCTGGTGTTCATGGTGCAGAGACCCAGACTCTGACTGGCCCGCATCCCTCCCTCAGGGAGTCGGCTGACAAGGTGGTGCTTCACATGGGCAAATACGAGGAACTCATCGTCTGCTCACATGAGATTGCAGCCAGCACGGCCCAGCTGGTGGCAGCCTCAAAGGTGAGGGAGGCTGTCCTGCTGTCCCCACTCCAGGCTTTGGGTCAGGCCCGGCCTTGAGGCCCCCACTGGCTGCCCATGGCCAACACAGCCGTGCCCACTCTGCCCCCTGCAGGTGAAAGCCGACAAGCACAGCCCCCACCTGAGCCGGCTCCAGGAATGCTCCCGCACTGTCAACGAGAGGGCCGCCAACGTGGTGGCCTCCACCAAGTCGGGCCAGGAGCAGATCGAGGACAGAGGCGAGTGCTTGGGGACCCAAGGGGCTTCCCAGAGCGGGTGGGGGAGCTCACTCAGCTGATTCTCCCCACTCCCCCCCCCCCCCCCCCGACCACAGACACCATGGATTTCTCCGGCCTGTCCCTCATCAAGCTGAAGAAGCAGGAGATGGAGACACAGGTGAGCACCTCGTGCCCCAGCTGCCAGGCTCCCTCTTAAGAGGATCTCTAGAAAAGGCCCGGGACTCATGGGCAGCGCTGAGCTGGCTTTGTGGCCTGCAGGTGCGGGTATTGGAGCTGGAGAAGACGCTGGAGGCGGAGCGTGTGCGGCTGGGGGAGCTGCGCAAACAGCACTATGTACTGGCCGGGGTGATGGGGACGCCCGGTGAGGAAGAACCCAGCAGACCCAGCCCAGCTCCCCGAAGTTCAGCCACCAAGAAGCCACCCTTGGCCCAGAAACCCAGCATAGCCCCCAGGCCAGACAACCAGGTGCCAGGCATCAGTACTGGGTTCGGGAGGAGAGCATGAGTGTGTGTGTGTGTGTGTGTGTGTGTGTGAGTGAGCGTGCAGGGGTGTAAGTGTCTGCACCTGGATGATACGTGTGCTTCTGGCTTCATCTACTGACCCCTCCCTCATCTTTGACCCCTGCAGCTCAACAAAAAGGATGGTGTCTACCCAGCTCAACTCGTGAACTATTAGGCCCTCTAAGGTGTTCAGCAGGATGGCTGCTGGTCATGCCTGGGCCTCGTGTATCCATCTGGTCAAGGGGCCTCTGAGAGTCCTCCAACGGCTGGACCTGGAGCCCAAAGCAGTACCCCAAGGCCCCAGCCTTCACCAGCCGAAGAGGCCTCGGCTCCGTGGGATAGTTCGTCTGGATTTGAGTCTATTTATCGTAGGTAGGAACTGCCCAGAGCAGCCGGGACCCAGCAGGCCTGAGCGACAATGCAGTGAACATCTGGGAGGTGTGAATATTCTGTTCTCTCTTTCTAAGTCTAGTCGGCACACTGGGAAAAGGCCAGGAGCCTCCCTGCCTCTGAACTCTGAGGCTGTAAGTGAACAGAAAGAGGGTCCTGTTGGCTTTTGGGGACAAGGGGGATGTGGCCCTCACGGGAGAGCAGGTGGGCTGGGCTGTGTCATCCTCTGGGGGCCTGGTGCTAGGACATCCATGCTCGGAGCCCCAGGAAACGGCTTTGTGTGGGAGCCCGGCAGCAGGTGGCCGGGGCCCTTCGGCTGTGCCTGGGGCAGCCCTGGCTCAGGTGATGCCTCACTGAGTCTCCATTCCCAGCCGGACTCCGCAGCCACCCTTCACTTCCTGATTTCCGTTCTGGCCTGGCTGCCTTCACTAGTGTGGCTGCTTATCGCCCACCTTCACGGGTAGATTTCAGTCCTCCCAAATCTTGGGCCTTTCAGCTCAGTAAGGAGCTAAAAAACAAAACAAAAACCCAGAAGCCACAGCCCACTTTTCGGCGGCTCAGGAATTCCTGTGGGCCTCAGGTGGAACAGCCTAGACTTGGAGGCCTGGCCTTGCCTGCCCCCAACAGTTTGAATACATTTGTGTTTCTCGAGCCTGAGGGGGAATGGTTGGGGTGGGGGGATATCCAGGCCGCCAATAGAGACAGCAGCTGGACTGGATAAGTGCCCAGCTTCCCTCCAGCTGCCTGCCCTGTGCCCTGGGAAGGCTACCAACCATGGGCCAAGGTCCGGAGCTGTGGGAGGGAGCCGACGCCTTTGCCCTGTCTGGTCCCTGTGTTTAGTTCCCCTGGCAATAAAACCCTGACTGTTGTCACCAGTGACCTGGTGAGGGCCTGCGCCAGCTTTTCATTTCCCCAGAGATGCACGTACACAGAGATCCTGGCACTGTGCCGGAGGCCGCAGTTGTCACTAGAACCTGGGGACACAAAGAGCCTGGCTAGTACAGCTGGTGGCTGCCTCATGCACCACCAGTCTTCCTGTCGAGGGCGACAGCATGGGCCATCCTTTACTACAGGCTGAACTAGCCATCGCCCTCCCACCCCCAAGGCCACTGCTACTCCAGCCTGGAAGCCTATGCTCTCCCCAGGTCCTCACCAGGGGTTAACACCAGGCACCACAGCTGTGACCATTTGTCCCGGTTACAGTTGGCAGTTTCCAGACTTCTAGGGTTTGAACTGGTAGGTGAGGACTGTCACCTCCTTGCCACACGCTCCAGGTTCCAGAGATCACCACTCAACTTACAGCCTCAACAGAGGTGGCTGGGGGCCCCTCATCCCCACACTCAGCATTTACAGGACACAAGAACAATGTGTGGTGCTGTTGGGGTTCAAGTGCTTTGCAAATTGATCTCCAGTCTGAGGCTGATGGAGCTGGCTGCCAGGTCTGAATCATGTTTTTCTAGAACTTCTAATACTTCTTATTCCTATTTACAAACCAGAGAAAATTGGTCCAAGCTAAGCTAGTGACCCCCAAGGGTCTGTCTGACCTTACATCCTGGGGCTCCAAACTGGAACTGGAGACAGGTCATCGCAGGTATCCTACACCGGAAGTCAGTCCCGCGCCTCCAATCATTCACCATCCTTCTCTGGTCCCACTTGTAAGTAAAGAGGGTCCAAGGGGGAGACAAAGATCCAGTAGGCCTGAGGTCATAAAGACTCATAAATCACCAGGCAGTGACGGTGAACACATTTAATCCCAGCACTTGGGGGCAGAGACAGGCCGAGTTTGAGGCTAGCCTGGTCTACAGAATGAATCCCAGGATAGCCAGGGATACACAGAGAAACCCTGTCTTTGGAAGGAAGGGAGAAAAAAAAAAAAACAAAACCTCAAATTACCGTGAAGTCCGACATACAGGAAAGGGCCACAAATTTGGCTCTAAGCTTCCTTGGCGACTATGAAAGAAATGATCAGATTCTTTTTCAAGGTGAATCGCTTTCTTCTTCCTGATAGGGCCATAGGGATCTCCTGTGTGTCGTCATAGGGCTGTGTGAGCATCTTCCTCAGAAGGTCATTCGACAGCTTGAGCAGGGTTGCTCTTGGGTCAAATCCCTTGGAGGGGCCTTATGGTCCAGACACACAGCTCAGCAAAGGTCAACAGAGCACAGGTCACAGGGTACACAGCTCAACCAGGGGCAGCAGGCACACACAGTCAAACAGGCATGCAGCTCAGCCTGGGGTGGCATGTACCTGAAGGCCCAGGAGGGGGGCAAGGCCCCTCCCTCACAGTAATGAGGCAGCACACAGTGGGGCTTGGTGTGGCGGAGGACACTGTTCTAGAAACAGAATGTTAGCGCCCCAACCCCACCCCCTGAAGCAGCTGGTGTCCTAGCTACTTTGTCAGGTGCACAGGCCTGTGGACAGGTAGGGACGGCGGTGAAGTCACCCTCAGCACACTGCCCCAGCCCTGTGGCTGCCATCCCAAACAGTCCTATGTCAGCAACATTGTTCTGTTACTGCTATATATAAAATACAAGAGCCTAGCCAGGCATGGTGGCGCACGCCTTTAATCCCAGCACTCAGGAGGCAGAGGCAGGTGGATCTCTGAGTTCGAGGCCAGCCTGGGCTACAGAGCGAGATCCAGGACAGTCAGAAAAACCACCAAAAAGTCCTGTAGCTAGGGCCAGGGATCCCGAACACACCACAGCTTTATTTTTTTGAGATGGGTCTGTGTAGCCCTTGCTGGCCTGGAACTTGATTATGTAGAGCAGGCTGGCCTTGAACTCAGCAATCCTTCTGCCTCTGCCTAGCCATCAGGCTTTTGTTTGTAACTCCAACAACTGTCACTGCCCCTGCTGGACCTGTGCTCACTGACATTCTAGAACCATGTCACAAACATCCCCAGGTAAAGCAGTGGCAGGCTGAAAGAAAAATAAGAAATGCAACAAACTGAAATGAGTAATTCTCAATTTATTAAGAGTTCTACAGCTTTACAAGCCCGGTGCCAGCTGTGGCCCTGGGCAGTGATGGCAAGGTCAGCCTGGCAGCCCCTTCCCCGCTCCACCTGGAGCTCCCACGTGGCTGCCGCCCGTGACCGGGCACAGGGCGTTCCTGGTGGCAGCGGAACCAAGGTGGCACACAGCTTTGTCTCTTTACAGAATAGTTCCAGTGGGGAGGAGCCCAAGTCCATGATCAGAGCACAGGACTTGGGGACAAAGGCTGGTGGCCCTCCCTGCCAGGGACAGGCTCTCTAATCAGCTCTGCCTTGACTCTGTCACCTTGGGTGGCAGCCAGCTGGCAGGGTGAGGGGATGGCTCTAAGTTCTACCCACAGGCACGCAGCCCTCTTCTGGGAGCAGGGATGGGGGCTGCCCCTCCCCCACCTGGGCCCTGGGAACTCTGCACATGGCACCCGCAGATGAGATCCCAGAGAGGAAGGAGCCACTGCTGCCAATCCCGTGAGGGGGGCTTCCCCAGACCCTCCCACGCCCTTGGCCAACACCGCAGTACTGTCGGCGAGGGCAGAGAACACTGCCCGGGAGGGAGTACCCCGGGAGTACCCCGGCTCAAGGTGGATGGGCCTTCTCTGACCTAGCACAGAGCAGGGAGGCCCGCCAGGGCCCTGCCTAACTGTGGGCCCAACAGGGCAGCCATGGCTGGCACACTGCAGGCATCTGAGTCCTGGCACCAAGTGAAGCTAAGGCACAGCACGGGCACTGACCGATGTGACCGTGCACTGCTCTCCTGACAGGAAGCGGCACTCAATAAATCTGCATTTTGAACCAGCTTGAAACAGTATCTGCGTTTTTTTTTTAAAAAGTTTCCCTGAATGGTCTTGAGAGTGTCAAAAAAGGTTTTCTTTCCAAATATAAAACAGGAAAATTACAAGTGTAGTAAAAACACTGAGTATTTTTTTCACAGAAACCGTCAGGAGGCTTGCTTGAGGTGTGAGGTGAGGGCTGAGGGCTGTACTGCGTGAAGTCCAGCTCACACTGGCCTCACACCCAGAGCCACAGCTCTCCCGGCCTCTACACACAGCAGCCAAGTGCAAAGTCTGCTCACGGTTCTGAACCGAGAGAGCATCCAGTCTGGCGGGAGGGAGAAGTGACTGACGGCCTGCCCGGCACAGACGGAACCAACAGCACAGCTGCCCAGCCAGGCCAGGCTGTGGGCACCCGTTCCAGGCTGGCCAGTGCAAACCAGCCTTTACCAGCGCCACAGCGGCTGGTGGACCAAGACTTGAAAATAAAACAGATATCACTAACCATGCTTATTAAATAAAGCTGCAACAGGAGGGCCATGATTCTAAATCGGAGGGGGGAGGTTTATCTTCCCAAATGCACAAGTCCATCAACACTAGATACTTAGAAATCACACCCGGAGCACAGACTGGTGTGATGAACGGGCCTGTGGCCGGGCACAGACAGAACTCCCTTGGTCCACAAAACTCGTTCTCTCTTACTTACCACGGACCTACAGTTCTGAAATCAGATGGACACATGGCCCAGGGCACCCACGCCACTGGCCCAGATGCTGGACTCCACAGCCTCCGTTCGCGGAGCTTGGCACGGCAGGCGAAGGGTGTCTTGCAGGAAGTAGAGACCCCGGAGCTCACTGGAGGATGAAGCCTGGCTGGTGTGGAGCCAGCCGTGGAGGGGGTCTCTGGGGCAGGGCTGGCGGGTACGGTGACACCAGCTGTGCCGAGAATCCTTGCTGAGAGGGGAGGCCCACCCTGGGGGGCAGAGGTGGGCACTGTAATCCTGGGTATGGAGAAGCCTGTCCTGAGCCCATGGCAGCCGTGAACGGGGTGGCTATGTGTCCTGCAGGCACCGGGGGTGGAGGCGGGGGGATGCGCCGCGGCACGACAGAAGGGAGCCCGGTGGCCTCCAGAGGGGGATAGGGCAGGGGGGTGGCAGTGGATGGCTCGGGCACCCTGGGGGGTACTGGGGCCCCGGCCTGTGGGAGTCTCTGTCCCTTCAGCACCAGCTCCTGGAGCTTCTCCACTTTCACACGTCGCATGTGGGCCAGCTTCCGCTTGCTCTGGTAGACATCGATGAAGGCATCCAGAGGCAGCTCTCCATCCAGGAACTTCTCTGCCATGTTCTACAAGAAGCAGGAGAGACCTGGTTACGAGACTGGCCAGCCAACTGTTGGGAAGCAAGCTCCCCTCACAGTCCAGGCAACGGGAAGGGTTCTGTCCCCTGCAGCACCCCGTCCGAGAATATGCCTCACTGCCTGTCTTCTGCCATGGGCTCAGAGCAGCACACCCTGGAGCTGGGCCTGGGCCTGGGTGATGCTGGCAGGAGCCCTCACCAAGCAGAGTCACAGGAGGATGAGGTGGGTGGTCCTGCTGTTGGCCACCCTCCAGAATCGAGACAGATGGCAGGACGGGCAGGGCCTTGCCCTACAAGGCCACAGTCCTGAGCCACTGGCTCTCTCCTCCAGAGACGTCCCTGCCCAGACTCTGCCCTCTGGTTTCCACCTGGCTGCACCTGACCAAATGACTCCCCCTGAACGGGTCAACAGCAGAGGACCCTGCCTGTGGCTATCAGGGCCCACCAAAGCCTAACGGTTAGTCAGACCAGCATAGTCTGACCTGGGCAACCTGCGCCAGCCCTGACTCACTTCCTCCCTGACAGGGCTCTGGCCATGTATTCAGCCAGCCATGTCTGAAAGGCTCTGCAGCGACCTGCTGACTCACTGACCACAGCAGACGCTTCTCAGCCACGGGCACCCAAGACTGGCAGGGCATCACGCACACCCTCCTCGGGGTCAGCGCCCTCTGGACCCCTGCCTAGCACGTTCTCTAGCCAGAGGCCAATATCCCCACTTGCCCGCAACCCCGTGTGCTTGGGAAGTGCCACCTGTTGGCAGTGGAGGCGTGGGGTTCCCATGTCCTGAAGGAAACAGGTCCACTGACTGGACAAGGTGACCCAGAAATGCGGCCTGAGGTATTCCCACAAGGCCGTCCAGCCTTACCTCAGTGTCTTCCTCAATCTTGGCCCCTTCTGCTTGAAGAAGTGCTAACAGAGTCTCCAAGGAAGCACTGTTTGACTGTTTATCTGGGAAAGCAAAAAAAAAAAAAAAAACACGATGGCATGAGGCAGGGCATCCCACGAGGATGCTTCCAGTTTCCTTGTTAGAGAAAGCGTGCGTTTGTTTTGTTTTTCGAGACAGTTCCTCTGTGTAGCCCTGGCTGTCCTAAAACTCAGAGATCAGCCTGCCTCCAGAGTGCTGGGACTAAAGGCATGCACCACCGAGAAAGTCCTTTTAACTAGAAAGGCAACAGGAGCAGACTTTCCAGGATCTGAAAGTAAAGCCTCAAATACACCAGAGGGACCGCAAGGAGCAGGTTCCAGGAGGCAGAGCAGGCCAGCATCTGTCCAGGCCGGCCGCCTCCCATGTGAGACTTCAACACTAATTCATCATCGGGCTTTCGCCAGCACTAAGGGTTAACAAGGGCCTCACATGCAAAAGGCGGGCAGTCTGCCTCCGCCCTCCATCTGTACCCCACCCACTCATAAGGTAAGACACAATCTCACTAAACTGGCCAGGCGGCCTGAACCTTGAAGTCCTCCCCCGACAGCGGCGGGCCTTTGTCACCATTCAAAGGAGCATCTCCTACTTTTTCTCTAATCAGGTCCCAGTTTTGACTGATACCTTAATCTAGCACACACTCAGGCCTTAGGTCGTAGATTAAAAAACGCAGGAGGGGCTGGAGAGAAGGCGGAGTTAAGAGCACTTCCTGCTCCTCCGGAGGACCTGGGTTCAGTTCCTAGCACCCACGTCAGGCAGCACACATTCACACAGACACCTACATAAAAATCAATCTTAAAAAACAAACACACGGATCTCTGTGAGTTCGAGGCCAGCCTGGGCTACAAAGCGAGTTCCAGGAAAGGCGCAAAGCTACACAGAGAAACCCTGTCTCGAAAAACCAAAAACAAACAAACACACACACACCACATGAATAAAACCTGAGTACTTCCCCCACCAGGGCAGGCCAGAAAAGACCTCCCCGCAGGCTCCATCATGTCCACTCTCCCTTCCGCTTTCAGGGCTGGCCTCTGCAGCAGACAAGGCTGTCGTGGCTCTGCAACCAGAGCGTGCTCTGGCTATTTACCTCAACTCAGCATCATCTCCCTGCCCACAGTCTAGACTCTAGATGTAACTGAGATTCATTTCTTTTCAAAGCTGCCATTCCACTGCGTAAACACCATGCCCCAGCACGCACTCTGCAGATGGACACTTAGGACTATTCTTCAACTTAATGCTTATACCAAAACAAAAAACGACCAAACAGAAGCCCAGTGTCTGTGCTGGCCCTCTCATGGACATGGCATCCCCTTCCACGGCTGCGTGCCCAGGTGTCCCGAGTCACAGACTGTACTGTGTGTTCAGAAGGCCGGGCCATAAGGCTCTTCCAAGATGGTGTCCCAAACCAGCACCAGGTATTTCTAGTCTTTTCAATTTTCCTTCCATTCTGGGAGGGTGTTGGTAACTTTACTGATGTTACAGAGACAGAAGGAACTAGAACAAACAGCAGCCACCACTAAACTTCACAAAAGAAGGTGATTTTGGTTTTCATTTTTGAGACGGGTCTCACTAAGTAGCCCTGACTGGCCTGGAACTCATTCTGTAGACCAGCTAGCCTAGAACTCACAGATCTATCTGCCTCTGCCTTCTTTTTTTTTTTTTTTTTTTTTTTTTTTTTTTTTTTTTTTACTTTTTTTTGGTTTTTCGAGACAGGGTTTCTCTGTGTAGCTTTGTGCCTTTCCTGGAGCTCACTCTGTAGACCAGGCTGGCCTCGAACTCACAGCGATCTGCCTGCCTCTGCCTCCCAGTGCTGGGATTAAAGGTGTGGCCACCACACCATGTGTTTTAACGCTTGTGTGTGTATACCTGCATGTGTGTCTACATGTATGTGCTGGTACCAGAAGACACTGAATCCCCTGGAGCTGGAGTTACAGGGAGTTGTTCGGTTGCCTGCTGTAGCTTCTGGGAACCAAACTTGGAAGAAGAGCAGCAAATATTCTTAAACCCTGAGCCACGTCTCCAGTCCAGACAATATTTACCTTTTTTGTTTTTTTGAGATAGGGCCTCTCTGTGTAGCCCTGGCTGTCCTGGAAATCAACTCTGTAGACCAGGTTGTCCTCAAACTCACAGAGATCCACCTGCCTCTGTCTCCCAAGTGCTGGGATTAAAGGCGTGCGCCACCATGCCTGGCCTCCCCGAGGTTTCTTATTTACACCCGCAATTCCAGTACTTGGGAGGTAGAAGCAGCAAGGTTCTACCTTTCGAGCACACACACGCACGCACGCACGCATGCTCTCACTCACTCAGTCCCTCGTCTCTGCACAGAGGTGAGACTCCCGTGACATCTCCACCCGACGCTGCAGTGGTAGGCTCTCTGGCCATCTAGAACCGCACACTTCTGACCACCACGACTCAGAAGGCTGCCTTTTCTCCTCCGCTACCTGGAGCGGGTGCAGTCTTCAATTCAGAAAGTGGCTGCCCTGAACAAGCGGCACACACCACTTGCTTTTTACGGCCGAGTCTTTGTCGTGGCCTCAAGTTTTTCAGGTCATTCTCCTGGCAGGGTTATCGCTTGAACTATGTAGCCTTCCTTCAACTCTTTAGTCTCAAGAGCTTGCCTGAGGAGAGTTACCTAGCTTGGTCTTCTTTATCTGATAGGCCTCAAAGAGAACCTGGAGTTCCTGGTATTTTTGGGTCAGGTGAGCTTTCTGAGCATCCAGTTGGGGCTGGTACAAAAGGTTTGCCTCTGCCAGGCTCCGGTTGCTAGCCAGTGTCATCTCTTTGTTAAGCTGAACAGTCTGCGTCTGCAAGAAACACACAAGCTGGTGAGACCCACAGAGCTTAGTTCATGGGCAAGTGCTAGGTGCCCCCCTCCCAGAGCCTCCCCCCCCACCCTGCCCCGCTCTCTCCCAGATGGCTCCATGCAGAGACTCCTGCCCCTCCACCGTCTTGTGGGCGCTCCCCCCAAGTCACAAAGGGCAAGGCCCGCTTCCCTCCCAACGGTTCAGCGCAGGACTCTGGCGTCCATGGCTGCACTGACTTGAATTCTGTACAGCTGCTGCTGTGCTGGCAGAACTCAACAGCTGTGACGGCGCAGGCAGGACTGTCCAGGGCCAGCTCCTGCTGCTGCAGAGGAAATCAGGGCCACTTTTATCAGAGGGGTCTAAGCTGGCAGGATGCCAACGTATGCTTCATCAGCCTCAGATCAAAGGAGCCCAGCCGGGCAGAGAGAGAATTATGTTTACAGTGACCGCGTCTCCCATGTTTCCCACGCCCAGCAGCCCCGCTCCTGGGTCATCCCATTAGCAAAGCCAACCCATGGGGAAAGGGGTGACTGTGCCTGCCCATCAGGCTTCTCCTCACTGACTCAAGGCTATCTGGCTGACAGATACCGAAAGCTGGCTGTGTGGACCTTGGGGTAGGAGGCTGTGAGGGGTTAAGGACAAAGCTTGGCCACAGTCTGTTCAAAGACTATTCCCTCACTCGTGACATGCTCCCTCTCCCCAGCCTGCCCACTGCGACCTCACTTTCTGCATTTTAAGTTCACCCCTCACCAAGGCGACACGTCTACACCTCTTCCAGTGGTTCTTCAACCCACCCAGCCACCGGTTTTCCCGTGAAAATCGTCTGCCACCCCACCCAGGTTATTTTTGCTAAGACTTCCTTCCTCTCTGCATTCTGTATATAGTCCTCTGCTCCCCCACCTCCCACCAGGTACGGGGTGGGATTGCACAGCACACTCACACACGGTACACACCCAGCAGAGACAGGAACTCCCAGAACAAAGGAAAAGCCCTTGAATATTGGGCACCTGATCCCCATACACTTGTTCAGCTACGACCACAGGCCCTAAAGACCACAGTCCTCCGAAATCAGAGAGGACCCCAGTCCCAAAGCCACTTGACACCCCTCCCCCATCTCAACACTGTAAAACCAGAGCCTGCAGCACCCCAAGGCTGGTGGCAGGGACACCTTTCTCTCTCTGCTGCTTAAGCAAGCAGGGAGAGTCCGGCAAGGGAAAGCGGTACTTTAAGGAGGGCCCCTGAGAGGCAGGTAGGGCTCCTGGGCCCCATCTACCCCAGAGGCACCCCGAGCTCGCTGTGGGCTCCGTGGACTGATGGCCACGTGAGTCTTTCCTTCCATTGTTAAGCTGTTGGGAAGAACCAACAAAAATAAACCGTGTCCATCCACTCTGGCACTTCTTATGAAACTAAACATGGAAATATCATTTGACCCAGAAACTGTACTTCTGGGAATTCATCCAGAGAAACAAAAGCTTGTGTACACACACACACACACACACACACTCTTCTGCACTTGAATTTCCCAGTAGATTTGTTGAAAATAATCTAAAACTTGAAGCAGTCAGCTTTGACACATCCATACCATGGAATACTATCTGGCAACGAAAAGGGAGAGCACACTCATACTTGGAACAACCCGAATAAAAACCCAGGGAATCACAAGGAGTGAAAAAATCCAACCCTGAAGGGCCATGTATCCCATGATTCTACACATCCAGTAGTCTCAGATATCAAAACGCAGAGGTGTGGGGTTTGTGAAGAGGCAGAGGGCTGTGAGGAGACTACCTCTGATTGGTGGCAGACGTCTCCATTGACCAGGGTCAATACCGTGGCTGTGAGAATGTAATGTGTTAGAACTTTGCCAGAATCTACCACTGGGGATGAGATGAGGGACACAGGAGCTCTGTCTTACGTCTAACATTTGAATCTATGGTTCCGCCAAAATCAAGCTTGGTCATAAGCAAACAAACTGCTGTGGGCCCCCTCCTGCCCCACCCCCACCCCGTGTTGCCTTATGAGAGGCAGGGGCATGTTCAAGGCCAAGGTGAGTACCAGGACATGGCTCCCAGGCCTGGAGCTCTGTACTGTTAGTTTTGGGTTTTGTTTTTGTTTTTTTTTCTTTTTGGAGACAGGGTCTCACTGTGTAGGCCAGGCTGGCCACACACTCACAATCGTCCTGCCTCAGCTTCCCAAGTACTGAGATGGAGACACCATGACCCACCACTGTCACGTGGCATGTACACGCCAATACTGACACTGTAATTCTTTGATCCATAAGCATTTGCTGAAAAGCCACCCTCTTCCAGGCCTAAGGTAGGCAGAGAAAACTCAGGAGAACAGAACTCTCAGGAAAGCGACATCAATGGAACCGAGTCTTCCACCTTCTCTGTAAGGCCACTCTTGCCCCTTCCCTGTTGGCTGAGAGCAGGCTCTGGAGCTGGCCTGTTCTTCACACTCTTGCTCAGAGGCTTCCGACTGTCTCAAACTCACAGCTATCCCCTGCCACTGCACTCTTTCTACAGTAAGAAATGGCTCTCCTTGTTCACCGTCTATCACGTCCCATCAAAACCCAAGCTACTAGATGGTGCTTGGCACAACAGACCTCAGGACACAGGGACCACTCAGTGAAATCTGCTGATCCACCAGTACACGTCCCCCACCCCCTCACAAACAAACCAGAAACCATCTGCTTGCTGGTTAATCGTGTGCAAGGCCCTGGGTTCCATCGCTACCGTCAAACAACAATGCACAGGGTAACAAAATATGGAGTAGGAAAAAGTGAGCCGTGGTCAAGGGACGCAGAGCATTGTGCTCTACAGCTTTGTGCGCCCGCCAGCTCTCTAAGAATGTCACTTGAGTCTAAGCCTATCTGGGGGCACGTGGGGTCACACACTGTGGGTAGTTTCCAAAGCAGAATGTCCCTAGAAGTTCTTAGCAGAAGCCACACAGTGGACTCAGGGTCGTGAGGCGGGCGTGGGAAAGGTGGCATTCAAGTACTTGCCTTGGCGTCCTTAAATGCAGCTCACAACAGCGGCTACCAATCAGAATGCTCCTGAAAGGGAGTGTTGAAAAGCCCAGTGCCCATGGGCTGGGGCACAGCTCGGCAGCAGAGCACCTGCCTAGCATGCGTTAAGCTACACACACCCTAAATCCACACCGACCACTACCAGTTCATGTCTGGAGGGGCCCAGGCAAAGACACTTTCCCCAACTCTCAGGGGATCCCACCATGCGGCTAAACTGAGACACACCACTCCAGTTTCTCTATGAAATGCAAATACAAAAATACCTTGTGCCCACAGGGTACAGTCAGGACCACTTGCCCTACACAGCACAAAGTCCTGGGAGGAAGAAGCACAAGGAAGCCTGTGCTTTACAAGGCAACCTGAGAGGAGCCACCCACCAATAAAGGCAGCCAAACCAACGCCCACCGCCGGCAGCCAGCTGTTAAACCGCTGTATTTTTTTATACCCTTTGGGCCAGCTGGTGGCTTTTATGTGAACAAGTAAGGGCAATCCTAAGTGGCCACCCCAAGAAGGTCCCCAACCTCCAGAGGACACGGGTCGGGAATGCCCTGGCCAGGCGGACCTCCTTTTCCTAGCTTTTGTAACTTTGGCCGAGACCGGGGGCTGGGCCGGATGGAGGGACCAGGGAAGTTCAGCAGGGCCACCCTGGCCCAGTAACGGATCTGAGGACACAGAGGGATGTCCACTTTAGCAAATGTCAGGCTTAAAAAGAATCCAATTTGCTCACACCCTTGTCCTCCTGACAGCGACGGCGTGTGTCCCGCCAACTGAGACGGGCAGTGGCCGCAGCCCCTGATCTTTTCCCAGGGCCCATCCTTCTTCTTAACCATAAAGAAATCTTTTCAGGAAACCATTTCTCTGTGGTGAAGGACCATTTCTGTAAATGTTCTCAGTTTCACTTCGCCTTCCCTCTCCTCCTACGGGAAAATGATCGGTGCGTGACATTGATCAGGGCCCATTTGCATGGCTACTTCTGCCCCTGAGCTTGAGGAAGGCTGTCTAGGCCAGCTGCCCAGAGTTAGTTAACATGGCCGCCCGGCCTGGTGGAATCAGTTCACTTTCACTCCTTCTAATTTGAACTACCACTTGATTTTTTTTTTTTAATCACTTGATTCATTTTAACAGAGAAACAAGTCATTTCCTTACAATAAAAACAAACACAAACAAAGCCCCACCTTTCTGATGTTAATGCAGACAGAAGGCAGACCCCCGGGGAAACAAAGGGCCCCCCTTTAAAGATGAAGGGGGAAGGGCAGCTGGGGAGAGTCCACAGGTAAAGAGCCCGAGGACTGGGTTCAGATCCCAGCCCATGCAGGAGCCCGGTGTGTCTCAGGCTGTAAGTCCAGTGCTGAGGTGAGAAGCTGGCAGAGCCTGGAGCTCACAGGTCAGCCAGGCCAGCCAGCGGGTGAGCTCAGGTTCAAAGAGACCTAGTCTCAAAGGATAAGGGGAGGGAGGGAGGGGGAGAGAAAGAGAGAGAAAGAGAGAGAGAGAGAGAGAGAGAGAGAGAGAGAGAGAGAGAGAGTGAGCAAACCCCAGTGCTGATCGTTGGCCTCCGTCAGTGCGTGTGCACGCACACACAACACACCAAAAATGACATTGACTGAAATGAACAGACCCATTAGAAAATACCCAACAAGAAGCAAACAGAGCTGGGCGGTGGTGGCGCACGCCTTTAATCCCAGCACTCGGGAGGCAGAGGCAGGCGGATCTCTGTGAGTTCGAGGCCAGCCTGGAACTACAAAGTGAGTTCCAGGAAAGGCGCAAAGCTACACAGGGAAACCCTGTCTCGAAAAACCAAAAAAGAAAAAAAGCGGCAGACAGATGTAAGCTCCCTGTGCCCGCGCCACGCTTACAGATGGGACACAGACAGGGACAGAGACACGAGACTCCCTGAAGCCCTGCTGGCTAGGGCCAGGTCAAAGGCCGAGTTTCCAGTGGACACTATCCAAACCAGCTACTTCTCAACATGAAGTTC